GAAGGGTCTGACCTTTGTTTCTCAGGTAGGCTGAGGCTGGCGGCCCGGATCGTCCCGCTCTGCAGGTGTAATTCCCGCACGGCCGGAGCGCTGCGTTTGGTTTTGCAAACTTCTGACAAGGTCCTCCATGAAAAGGCAAGGGGCAGCAGCCTGGGAAGGCCCTTTTGGGGGTTGATAACTGACTGAAGGGTGGCAAATAAAGGGTAGGGATGAACGGTTGGCGCTCACAGCGGAGTGAGGTTATTGTGGAGTTTCAGAGTCATCTCTGCTGCTTTTTTTTCTGAATACGGTGATGTAGAGAAGGAAAATTTAATCCTAAGTTATTTAGGATAGCTAAACCGGACTGTGGGAAGTTGCAGAGACCAGGTAATACTGAGTGGCTGAGTGCTAGTGTGGTAAACAAGATATGATGGCAACGGGTGTAATGAAGGTAACAAACACCACAGCAATTAACTCTGCATCAGCTTTTGCTATTCAGGAAAGAGCTGTTGGTGTCTCAGCAATTGTTTCTTTTAAAACGTTGCTTCAACACCCCGCCGTAGCCTAAAAAGGGTATTTTGGAATTACTTTAAAGGAGCAGAGAACAAAGCAGAAAACATCATTACACCACTGCATAAATCGTTGGCAGCTTGTGCCCTGGCGATTGCTGGTAGTTCTGGTTAGCCCATCCCAAAATGGGAGCACTGGAAAAGGTAGGGGCAGGAGTGGCGCGGGCGAGCAGGTTTCTGGGCAAGCGAAGCCTTCGTTTCCTCACCTTAGGGGAGAAGCTTGCTGACAGGAGGTACGGTGCAGGTGCATGAAGTTGTGGGCAGGTCAGAGAAAGCAAGGAGGGAACATCAATTTTCTGTTTCTTACAGGAAATTATGATGCAGCAAGTCTAAAATAAACAGGAGGAAGTGCTTTTTCACACAACATGCTATTAAACTGTGGCACTCTATCACAGGATGTTCTGCCGCCCGATAGCATCGGGGGCGGTGGGACTAACGGGGAGCATTAAAACTAACGAAGCAGGTATGGGAAGTTCCTGAGCTGCAGTAGCTGGCTGCCTGGCCTTTCCCTGTCGCGGCATCGTTGGTCTCCAGTCGTCGTTTCGCCCCTGCGCTCCTTTGCACACCTACCGCCGAGGAGGGTGGGAGTGTCTGGTATAGGTCCTGACTTCAGAAATTCATAAAACAGCTATAAAAGGTAAATACAAAACTATATGTTGCTGATGGTGTGTCAGGGCTGGCAGGCCCTGGCGGAGATCAGCCCTGCAGAAGTCCCTGCCTGTACCAAGGAGTGGCTCTGAGGAAGAGCTCAGCGCTGGCGAGGTGCCCGTGAGGGTATTTTGTCGTGGTGTGAGTGCCTTACAGTGCTTCACAGGGATGGTTTTTTTAGGCTCATAAGCTTCAAATTAAAAGAAGCCAATATGATCTTGTCTGAATTCTGTGGTGGGACACAGCCTGGAGGTCATTGCTTAGTGATTAGCAATCCACACATTCCAGCTCAATCGTGGCTGCTTTTTTTTTTTTTTAAGAAAACCAAAATTGATTTCATTGTGAGAGCTTCAGGGGGTGGAACAGTGGCGTTACCTTTGCAGTTCATTTGGGTTTTTCCTAACGAGCCATTTATTGTCACAGTCTTTTACTCCTGTGGATGTACTCGGGCCATGCTAAAATTAATTTCATGAGCATTTAATTGACAAAATGAATAGATTGGGCTTCCTTAGGCTCTATGTTTTAATTGAGTCAAGTTTCCCAGCCGCCTTATTCTCACAGAGCTTTCTGAATCCTCTCCAATTTAACTTTTCTCTTTGAAGTGTAGACATGAGAACTGAGCGAAACTGTTCAGCGGTGGCTTTGGTAATGTGGTTCCATGGACCTACGTGATCTTAAGTGGACTGCGAGTTGAACCATGAAATGGCAGAGGTTAAAACAATCCTGTCCAAACCCTCTCCCCCCAAAAAAAAACCCCCCACAAAACCAGTATTAGTGTGGGTCAGGGCCTTGATGTAGTTTCTCCCACGAAGGACAGGGAGAAGTCAGGACTTGCTTCTCTTCAGCACTGCATGCTGCAGTAAAGCCTAGACTAGCACTTGTTTTTGCTGTTTTGTGCATTGACACTGATATCCTGAGGTTGATTGCTGAATAATAAATGTGTCTCGCTGTGAGGACACTCCTTGGTTATTCTGTGAGCACCGCTGAGGCCTCATGCCTTAGCTGGCATCCCTGTGCCTGGAGAGCATGAGATGCTTCTGGTTTCCCTCACCCCACGCCTGCTCAGGCTGTGAAGCTCCCGTGGGGCACTGGCACTCCCAATGCTGTGTGTCCCTGCCTTTCCAGAGTGCCACTGTAACTGGCAGGAGTTTTTCCCATAACATATTCTGATATTTTGCAGGTACTTGCTGTGTATTTCCATTTCTAAACCTAATGAGTTAACTTTTGTTTGTGTATGATGTACAAAGCTGTGTCTGCCTCCAGCGCTGTGATGTTTTGCAGTCCTGAGCAGCCAGCAGGTACCTGGATGAGTGGCCAAGGCTTTACAGGTATTTGAACGTCTGGTTTTCAGAATTCTCAGGTCCATCACAAAGCAGCGCTTGTTCCAAAGGCGGTGCCTCACCTAACCAGGGAGGCAGCCCACAGTGCCTGCAGCCGATGTCCAGCCCAGTCCTGCCGACCTGGTCAGAGATCTACGGTCTCGGTATTGACAGCGAAGAGAGCTATCTGCTCAGGGTCATCCCGGTTAAACGGAGCTTGTGGACTCTGGGCAATTGCCATTGTGCCCTTGAGCTGAGCAAAGTGCGGACGCCCCTGGCCGAAAGCAGAGGTCATGTAATTGCTCAGCCCTGAGCTGCTCTGGAGTCGCTGCCCAGCGAGAGAGGCCGTGCTCGAGGCGCCTGGCTTGGCGCGGAGGCACCCACGCTTCCCTCACTTGCTGCCATGGTGCCGTCGCAGCGCTGCTCGCTGCATTGCTGTTGTCTTTGGTCCATCTTGGTCAGCGTCTAGTGGCCGTGGGGTATCTCTGGGGTAAAGCTATATATATATCGCCCACAGGAGCCTGTCTGCTTGTGTACAGGTAAGCGTGCAGGATTAGGCACGGTCTCCCTGCCTTTTTGGTGCTCTGGTGCAATTTAGTACTTGCCTCTGTGCTGCAGCAATCTCTGACCCTCTCCTGGGAGGGTTACAGGAGCAGGGATGCTTCTGTGCTGCTCCGAGGAAAGGCCCGTAGCAGGCCTTTGGGCTGGCCCAACGCTTCTCAGTCTGGAGACTCTTAAACCCTCTCCAAGCCAGACAAGTGGTGCTGCTTGAGCGGGGCTTTCCCTGTGTGACTGACTGCTCGGGGAGGGCTCCCGCCGGGCAGCAGTGCTGGTCTGAGCTCTGCCTCTGCACCTCCGCCCGTGCCGGCTGCAGTCTCTGCCTGACTCCCTGTCTTGTTTTATTTCAAACGAAGGCCTCTCTGGAGCGGAGGGTGGGAGAGGCACCTTTAGTCCATACGTGATTCAACGTCTCCTTGGTAATAGCTACCCTTGCTTCCGTTTGCCGTGCTAAGTGACATCCCCACTGTCCTGAGGCGGATTTCACTGGAGCTGAAAGCACCCGGTTTTGTGGGTGGTTGGCTTGTGTGGAACCTGCTCAGCTGGATCATTAAATGAGATGGGTTTCCTAAGTCATAGCTGTTCCCTGTGTGCAGACAAATTTGATTTGACATGACCTAAAGTTGCCAGGAAATGGTAGAACGAGTGATGAGGAACAAAGTTGGAATTGCGAGCAAAACGCTTCGCTGGCAGAGAATAGTAAAATTGCATGTGGTGCTATGACGAGGGGTTTCCTTTTTTGCTGGATTTGTGTGTTGATCATGGACAGGAGAGAGATGAGGTTATTAGACTTAGAAATGGAACATGCTTATGGATACGTGTAGAAGAAGAATTGGTGAGAAAGTGTGAAGTTGACATAATATTCATACACAGGCTGGTAAACTTAACAATTCCTGTTCCTCTACTGTACGTAGTTACACGATTCATCAATGGCATTTGTTTCGGGAACAAATTTGTTTATTTCTGAGAGGGATGCTTAAATACATGTGTGTGACTTCTACGGTGTCCTCTCGAGGACGGGGATCGCCCCGTGCCCACGCGCCAAGCCAGAGCAGCGATGTCCTGTCTGGGTGCAGAGCAGTAGCCTTGGCCTGCCACGATTTCTGCCTGTCTGGAGCATCGTAGATAGATGTTGGCCACAGCCATGTAATCTACAGCCAAGGAGTATGAGCTGCTATCTGCTCGTGTCTGAAATCTGGCAGAGGTCTTTCCCTTGTCTTTGTTGTGGGTTTTCTTTAATGAGATACGGCCGACATTCCTTTGGAGCTATTAGTATTTTAAGGCTTAAAAGATTCTCCAAGATCGGCCTTGCACTTTTTTTGTTTCTTTAACTGAGAAATAAGTCCCTGGTTTTCTCTAAGTTACTGTGTTTGTGTACCAGATGTGTGGATCTCAGGGCAGAACAAGAAGTCCCGCACCCGAGAAGTGTCGTGGCAAAGCCTTGATCAGGTTGTCCTGTGTGGGACTGGTTTCCTTCGCCTGTTTGTTTGCAGTGGGGAAATGATTATGGGAACATTTTGAAGCGTGTTTGTTTAGGTGTCATTCCCTGGTGTATGGAATTCTTTTCGCATCTTTTTCACCTTTTTTTTGTGTTAAATTACATCAGATGTAATTTAACATGGAGATTTTGGCTTTAGATCTGACATCTCCTCTGAGCTTCTTTTTGCGCCTTCTAAAGGCTGGTGGTTCTTCCTGGGCTGGCGTTTTCAGCTTCACAGCCATTTGAGGAATTGATTTGTTTTTTGTTACAGCTGACTTTTGTAAGCTTCTGTTGTTTTGGTGTATGTAAAAAGGAACTGAAAAAAAAAAAAAAGAATCCTTTGAAAATTTTAAAAATGACAGCAAGTTTTGTAACCACAAGAAGTGAAAGGCTCAGAGAGACAGAACTTGAGCCGTGTCTTTATGGACACGCACTTTCCTTTCTGCCAAGCTTGATTTATACTGCTTCCAGGAACCCCAGTTGGGGGGAAAAACATCAAACAAAAGGTTCTGGATATAGAAAATACCCCATTTCTGTAGTCTCTTGTTACTTCTTAATCTCTGGTTGGAGGCCCCTGGCCTGGAACATCCCGGCCACGGCTCCGGCCGTGTGGGGCGGTGGAGTTGGGCAGCCGGCAGCCCCCAGCCCCAACCCTGCAGCACCCTCCAGGCCTCTCTCCTGTTTGCTCCGTGGGGCTCCCCAGATCTCCGCAGAGCCTTGCTAACAGCCCGCGAGCGCGGCTCCATCAAGGCCCTTTTCAGGGTCACCCTGGCTTCATTAACATGAGTGAGAATTAATCACATTAAGATCCTAACTGGTCGGACTGTGTGCCTAACATAGCGCTGCGTTGGTGACAGCATGGGGTTGCTTTCCTGGCCGCGTGGGATGGTATGGACGGGATGAAGGGCTTTGGCTGCATGCGCCGTTTCAGCCGCAGCCGAGAGCTCGGCTGGGTAACGAATGCCGCTGTGACAGGTCCTGTCCCGCTCGCTGAGATGTGGGTTGACAGGAGCTAGCAGCACTTGGCTGCTGGCTCTGCTTGCCTAATCTCTGGTGACAGGGGTGTCCAGGCAAGGTGGACACTGGGTAATTCAGGGCCTTGATAGATAATTTGAAACCCTCTTGCCTTAACTGTCTTCTCTCCAAAACCCGGTAGGGGGAAGTGCTTGTGTTTTGCTCGCTCAGCTGATGCTATGGATGTCTCCTCTTTCCCCAGTTCCTGCGGAGCCGTGTGTGAAACGCTGCAGTCATGTCTGACTTCGTAGAAAGTGAAGCGGAGGAGTCGGAGGAGGAGTACAACCAGGATGGGGAGGTTGTGCCCAGAGTAACCAAGAAGTTTGTAGAGGAAGATGAGGATGGTGAGTCTGCCTGTCTGTTCTGAGTTTGCTGAATTGTCTCTGTGCCTCGCCGCTCTATTTTACATCCCATGACTCTGCAGATGGAGCAATAACTATGCTATAATAGCATGGCCATCTGTAGTCGATAATCTCAGCTGTTTAAGTGCTTCCCTTCCTCAAAGTCCTTAGGTGGTTTTTATATTTGGCAATAGAAAATATGCTGCTTCACCCCCACGGGACTTGCAGTCGCACAATTTGATAGTAAACAGTAAAAGCAGAGGAATTCTCCCAGTGTGACCACTCCACCTGTTCCCTCTGCAGACAGAGCATGAGAGAAGAAGTGGGGTTCTGGCACGAGCAGCTGGCTGGCTTCTGTGTCAGTACAAGTGTTCAGCTAAAACTCTCTGCATGGATAGCGTGAAGGAAGATGCCGTTTGCACAGAGCCGAGAAGGAGTCTCGGCAGATAACCAATGAGTACATGTCTAACACTTGCTGCTCTCCACCAGATGAGGAAGAGGAGGAGGAGAATCTCGATGATCAAGATGAGCAGGGGAACCTGAAAGGATTCATTAATGATGACGACGATGAGGAAGAGGAAGAGGAGGAAGAAGCCAGTGACTCTGGAGACTCTGAGGACGACGTTGGCCACAAAAAGAGAAAGCGCAGTAAGTTTTATGATGATTGTTCATAGCGGGCCACAGCATAATGCTCTCAGGCTGCCCTGCGGGAGAGCAGAGCTCTCCCTCTGCCCTGGGTGTCTGCATGGGCTGGGTAAGTTATACCCTTCTCACTGGTTGGTCCATTCCCAGTTTAGTAAAAGGAGAGTGTAACCCATCTCTGCTTTCTTCTCGTAGCTTTTGATGACCGCCTGGAGGATGATGATTTTGACCTCATTGAAGAGAACTTGGGCGTTAAAGTCAAAAGAGTGAGTTGTGTTCCCATGCTGCTGTTAACCGTGTGGTGCGTCTTAGCACGAAGGAGGGTGGGCTTCTGCCTGGAGTGAGCGAGCGGTGCCTCCCGTCTGCTCCTGCCCTCTTGGAAAGGGACAGCTGAGTGCTTGAAGGAAGCAGGATCTCTCCCTGCCCAGGCAACTGGGAACTGGCTTCCCAGAGTTTGCAAAACACTTTCTTCTGGTTCCTAAAGTCTGCTGTACTCCTCCCTTCCCACCTCTGCAAGACAGTCTCAGAGGGGCCCGTCTTCCAATAACTTTCTCCTGCACGATGCTAACCTCAAAGTCAGGCTATTATGGGCTCTAAAGCTCCTTCCGTAACACTCGCTAGAGGCACATCAAGCCAGGCTAACGCTGGTCTGGATGCGGCACAGTCCTCGGCAGGCAGTTACGTTGTGTACACGCTGCACCCAATGAGCACCTGCAGCACAGCTCCCAAAGGGGTGGCTCTTCTCCCTTGTGTGCCTGTGCTGGGCTCCATCCTGCTCCCGCTCAGGTGCCACCTGGGGAGCAGAGGCAGTGCAGTTCTGGCCTGGCAGAGACCGCGCTGAGCTTGAGTGTGTGCCAGGAATTATGTGCACTAACAAGCCTTTTTGCTTGCAGCAAAAATTCAGGCGCGTGCGAAAAATGTCCGATGATGAGGATGACGAAGAGGAAGACTATGGAAAGGAAGAACATGAGAAGGAAGCCATTGCTGAAGAAATCTTTCAGGATGGTGAAGGCGAGGAGGGAGGGGAAGCTGTTGAAGCTCCTGTTGCTCCACCAGAAGAGGAAGAGGAGGAGGAGGAAGATGAATCTGGTGAGTATGGATGGTCAATTACATCCAAAGTTTGTCCCAGGATTAAAGCACAGGAACGAAGTTAAGACTTTCTCTGAGCTAGAAGTAACCAAAGGCTGCAGCCCTGTCGTGGTAAAG